AGACCAATTTGAGAGGCAAATGCATTTCAGAGTAGAGATTAGTTCGGTTTGAGGTAAGTAACAGTCTTAGATCTGGTTTTGAGGGTATGAAACCCCGAGAATTATATAATGTGAATATTTGGGGGTGACGCACATGCTAGGTGACGGGTGTGCGAGCGTGCACGGTGAGGGATCGTGACTTGGTACGTCCCGTGAGACTGTAAAGTCAAATAGCCATTATTATTCGTTATTTTCCTTGTCTTTGAGCAATTGACTGCCTTTTATGTTCGAAACCATGCTTAGGTAATATGATATCACTGTTGGGACCCACTGTGGTCGTATACTTGTTGAATTACTTGCTAATTGCTGTCTTGTACTCAATCATATTTTCACTTGCGTATCATATCTCAGCCTCTTCTTGATTTTGTTGATATACTATGCTATCTTTATTTGGGCTGATCGTTGTGATTACCGAGAGCCCGAGAGACTAGAGAGGTTGATGACTGAGTGAGGCCGAGGGCCTGTCTATGAGGTACTGATACTATGGCACATGAGTTGTCCGTGCAACACGTGAGTTATCCGTACGGTTCCATATATTGTTACAATAGCACGTGAGTTGTCCGTGCAGCACGTGAGTTGTCCGTGCGGATTTTAGTGCTTGGGCTGAATGGAGCCCCTCCAGAGTCTGCACACCCCTAGTGAGCGCAAGTACCTATTGAGTGTGAGTACTTAGGGCTGAGAGCCGAGTGATTGAGCTGTTGTGACGAGTTGAGTGCCTGTTTCCCTAAGAGGCTGTACATGTTTTTTCATTTATTGATGCACTTAGTTGCTATCTGTCATTGTTGTGAAATTTCTGAAAGATTCTATATTTGGATTACTTGCACTGTAACTGTATAAACTGATTTGACTTGAACTACCGAATTTGAAAGCATATCTATTCTTTGCTGGAATTATTGAAAATGAACTGTATTTGTATAGCTCGTCACTACCTTCTCAGTTCTTTATTTATTTCTGTGACTTGCTGAGTTGGTTGTACTCATACTACACCCTGCACTTTATGTGCAGATCCATGTGTGTTTGATCACGGAGGTCGTTGAGTTCGTGCGCGATCGAGTACCGGAGACTACGAGGTAGCTGTCGGCGTCCGCAGACCTTGTCTCTCCTTCTATGTTTTCTTTCTTTTCAGTATTGACATTCAGACACTGTTTGTATTAGACTGGATATTTAGATGCTCATGATTCAGTGACACCCCGATGTCGGGCTATTTTTTCTGCACTTATGTTTTAATTGGGTTTTACCCCCGTTTTATGAAAAATTTCGGTTATTTTAAATGTCTTAGTTCATTTCTGTTAAATTTTGAAAGTGTTTTTTTTTGGAAAGGTCGGCTTGCCTAGTACCACGATAGGCGCCATCATGACGGGTTAGATTTTTGGTCGTGACAATGAACTTCTATGGTCCCGAGGAAAAAGCTAAATTTGTTGCCTACAAAGGGGAGTCGATTGCCTATGGACGCACTATAAGTTTGAAATATATAAAAAAACTCTCACTGTGATGTTATCTCTGTGTTTGAAACTCAAAAACTTCTCTCGCTAATTGAGATTGTTGGTGACACTGTCTATGAAGAGACAGTGCGTATGTTTTATGCTAATCTTTTCGTGAATGATAAAGATGACTTGGAATCCATGGTCTTAGGAACTCGCATTATTCTTAACTCTTATTAGTTTGAAAAGATCTTTGCAACTAAGTTTGTTGGGTATAGATTTTTTGTGCAACATTCTTGGCCTGATAATTTTGAAGTGTCTTTTGAAGAAGCAAAAAGTATTTTGTCTGAAAACCCCCCTGATATTGGTCCTAAAAACTTGAAATTTGAGCACCGTATTCTAGCCCACATTATTGCTACCACCCTGGTACCCCGCACTGGTTCTCTTAGCACTTGTCTATCAGAGATGTGTTAAGATCTAGGATGTTAAAAATACGACGACTCTTATCTTCACAAGTAGGATTGGCGCAACGCTCAGTCGATTTTCAAAGCTGGAAAAGATGCAAGAAAGAAAGCGGTTTTTCGGCACTCGCTTCCTTCGTCTTAAGTCAAGTTCAGTTTACTTTTTCGATTCGGAACTCTTAGTTGAGCTGATGTCGAGATCAATTTTTTATTCGAGGTTTAAGAGGTTAGAACCCTACTGCGAGAGGGGCCCTGCCCTGATTGGTCACTTTTTGGGTCGGGATCGACTTTTCATTTCCTGTTCGATCTTTCAATAAGTAGTCAACTACGGCTGTAGTCAGACTTTACATTGATTGAAGCAGCTGTTGGAGAGAAGGCACTTGTATTGTCTTGTGAATGGCAAAGCTATTAACTGGCTTGCTTGGGTACATTAGTATATGCTTGAAAGCATTAGGGATGTCTCCTCTTCAGCTAATAGCTTGCCTTATGGTTTACTAATATCTCATATTTTGCAAGTTATGAAAGTGGATTTGTCTCCCTATGCCCCTAAGATTAGTTTCAGCACCTATGACAAGACTGCCTTTACTATGACGGGGTACACTCTAGTTTAGGGAACTTGGTTCAAGAAAGACAAAACACTATAATCCACTCCTCAATAGGGCATTGGAGGATTAAGTTTGAAGCAGACAAATCCTCTCCCTTAGAACAACTGCTACTGATGCAGCAAAACATTGTAGGTATCAAGGAATTTCTAACTTTTATGCAGGAATAGGTGAACAAGATCAGGAAAGTGACAAAGGAAACTGGAGCAGATGTGGCGAGATTAAGGATCAATCTTCAAGCCACAAAAAAGCAAGGGATCAGGGTTATGCAGGATGTCACTAAGAAGTTGACCAAAGTTACCAAGGAGATTGATGCCTCTTATGATAGCTTCTGCACCAAAGTGATCAACATTTTGAAGTATTTTCTTGGAAGGAACCAATTGTCTGAGCTATTTAAACAATCTTTTCTTTTTGTTTGTTTGATACAACTTTACATTTGGTTGCGTTTGGTTAGGCATACAGTCGACTATACCCACTTTTGCTTGCTATAACTGTTTGGATATATATAATTATGCATGCTTTATTATTATTAGCTGTTATTATTAGTTGTTATTCTCTGTATATCTTCTTGCTCTTTTTGATTAATATCAAAGGAGGAGAAGAAAAAGAGTACAAAGACAGGGGGGCGAAGGCGCGAAGACAGGTGGAGCAGAAGTATACCTTGAAAGGGCAGTGTCCCCCAAATTAGTCAAACTCCTTTTGGTTTATTGTCATCGTCAAAAGGGGGAGATTGTTAGATTTAAAATTTTAATAATGATTAATAACAAAAATCCTTGACTAATGTAATTCTACTATGTGTGCAGATTCACAAGGAAGCAACGGCTCGGAAGAATACAAGGAAGGAAAGAAAATCAATCTAAGCATTTTAAAGAGCCAACTGCTATGATATTCGAATTGTCCATCAAAGGAATACCAAGAAGGAAAAGGAATCAATCAAACAAAAAAGAGATTCTCAAACATACAATGAAGGAAAGGGAATTAATCAAGCAAGCAAGAGATTCTCAAGCATACAAGGAAGAAAAGGGAATCAATCAAACAAGAAAGAGATTCTCGAGCATACAAGGAAAGAAATTAGTCAAGAGAAATCAACGGAAGTTTTAAGAGTAATTGATTGAAAAGATGAAGGAGTCAAACTACATATTGAGAATGAATCTAGTTGTACTTCATACGCTGGATTCATGAGGCTGCCCTTGGGTCCTACTCTGAGAAAATTCTGCCTCAAAAGGAAAAGTCGCACTATCAATGATCTTCCACAATCTCATAAAAGAGGAATCAGAAACTCCATCAAGTACTATTAAAGAAGAGGAGGAAGGACGAGGAAGTTTACGTAACTTAATACATGTTTCTATATCTTTCTAGTTCTTAGTACAAACAATGTATTCTTGAGTTTACAAGTGTCACAACAGATAGGAAGAGTTAGAAAACAAAATAAGTGTTGTGTCAAGTTTAAACAAACACTGTTGTTGAATATCGTTAGTGGTGAACGAACTAACCACAATTGTTGTAACGACTCAATATTGAAGATCTAAGAGAACCCTTGTGACCAAAGGGAACTAGATGTAGGTATCACATCGGTACTGAACCAGTACAAAACTTTTATTTCTTTACTGTTTTTACTTCTGCATAATTTATTTCTGTTGCGATCGAACCTGCTGGAAAAGTTTAGTCGACTAATTCCCTCTGTAGTCAGCTAAGTTTTTAAATTGGTTACAACTGACTCCCTCTTGTACTTTCATAAGTATCATTCGCTTGGTCACTCTTTTGATTTCGGAACCAACTAAATAAATTTTTTGAGAAAGATATATCGAGATGACTCTGTTTCCCTACAAACATATATCATCTTCAAGTGACGAACAAAGGACACCAGTGTCTTCTTCATTGTGTTATCAAGAAAGTGCTTAGAATTCTCTGTACTGCAACAGCACATTAACAGGGGCACTCATCACTAAGGAAACTTTGAAAAGGATGCATTGAGTTAGTGACTTTATTTCCCTGCAAACCATACGTGCAGGACCATTTTAGCTACATCAACTTCTAAACGGCGACATAAATGAATGTGGATCTATATATTTATGATCTTTCAATAATTCAAGTAGGCCCTAAATTGAATGTGGTTCGATTTTTATTAGATCTACAGAGTATACTTCGTGCATATTTCCTCTTCTAACTTCAACAAAAAAAAAAAAAAAAAAAAAAAGCACATAAGAATTGGCAACAATATCTTAGTGATATAAATTTTGACGATTTTCATCCAAAAATATGGCTAAAACCTCCTGCGAGAAAATCCTGAAAAAATAGAATGTGGTATTTACTCATCCATAAGAAAGCGATAAATGTTGAGTTTACTCATTTTTGTGATTGAGTTTCAGTTTCACCCATTTGCACAATGTTAAAATGAAAACAGATATTATTATTGCAAACTCTATGCTGTACATCCTAAGTAGAACATAATAAATGTAAAAAGTAAGGTAAGACAATTCACACTTTAACTAAATGGATTAATACCAGTTCCAAAGACAAAATAGCATCAAACTTTAATCTTGACACCAAACCAAAAGGAAAACAAAAACATGTCGACATAGCTTCGGTTCCACGATTATTAGCAAATAATTTAAAACAGGGAATTCGCAGCACACTTCACAATTTAAAATAAACTAAGTATCTAAAACTGATGTACAAGATGAACACCATGTTTCAAATAGATATATCATCTTCAAGAAGCTGCACCATTGCCAACAAAGGACGAAAACGCCTTCTTCACATTCTTCTTTACCGGGTAATTGACTCGAAAACGCTTCGAATTTCCCATTCCACAGCCAAAACAGAGCGTTGAAGTTGGTGAAGTAGGGATCTGCAGCTTTTCATGATCATACTCCTCAATTTCTGATCTCGAACGGTAGTTCCTTGTGTTGGAATTATAAGCAGTGATTGGAATGGAAGACATCGAAAACGACGATGAACAAGATGATGAAACAGAAGGGGAAGTAAGTGAAGGTGAAAAAGTGATTCTTTTAGAGGAAATCTTAGGGAAAATGGAGAGGAAAAAATTGGGTTTTGATTGTTTTTGCAACGATTTCAAGTGGGCATTGGTTTGATAAGAAGGTGGAGGAGTAAGTGGAGGAAGAGAAGTATCTGAAAATTTATGTTTAGGAGTACCAGGTTGAGATTCCCAAACAAATGGAATTGAACCAGAAGATCCACCACAGTAATAATACCTAAAAGAAGACTCACCTCTTGCTGTATTTTCCTTAGACAAAAGTCTAGAGAAGAATTTGTCATCTTGTTTGATTAGAAGAAAATCTGCTGGATGATGGCTACCACCATTCACCATTTTCTTTTCTGTTCTTTAATTTACTTTTACCTCACTCTCTTGGAACTTCGCTTCAAGATCTGGAGATCTATAGAGGATGAAGTAGAAGAGAAGGAAAAAAAGGATTTGAAGCTAAGATCTCAGTATTGGATTTTGGATATATTCAAATCTAGTGTATATATTTAATTGGTTGCTGAATTAAATGCGTAAATTAATTAAAGGAAACCATGCAGGAAAGGGGTGGTGTTTTGATTTCTAGGAATTTGGCTGCAGAAGATGATTATTGACTTGGGCGGGGACACTTTTATATTACAAGAAAATAAGATTTTTGAACTCCAACCAATGTGAGGGTCAGTTTATTTAATGTTTTGAGGTCATTCAAGAATGGCATTTTGTGTGTTAGTTAGTGTGCTAGTGTACTTAGAGTAAAATGAGATTTAATGCAGTTGGCCGGTAGCTATAACTATAAGGAATCGTTTGGTAGGGTGTATAAGAATAGTGCAGAATAAGGTGTATTAGTAATGCATGAGTTAGTAATGTAATCATTAGTTATGCAGATATTATTTCTTATCTACTGTTTGGTGTGATGTATTAAAATTATAATGCATTGCATAATTTTTAAGAAAAATAGTTGTTTACAAAAATGCCCTCCATATTCTCAAGTTTTAAGGGATTTTAAGGATAATTGTCTTTAACCAACCTAATACATGCATTAATAGCCTTGGTATTACTAATGTCATGATTTTCTATGCATTACTTATACATAGGATAATGCTAAATATGATGTATAACTAATACAAGTATTAGTTATATACGGGTTGAAAAAATATATCAAACAAGGTATTAGTAATGCATAGAGCTAATGCTTGTATTATTTTTTCTAATACCTCATACCAAACCACCCCTAAGTAGTAAACCATTTTATTGCATTTATTTTTTTTTAAATCTAGTATTTTTTTATACTGCTGAAAATTTCTAGGCCATTGATTGAAGGGATGATATTAAGCGTCCGATTTTAAGGGAGCCTAGGAGCAACGATAAAGTTGTCTTCATGTGACTTATAGGTCACGCGTTCGAGTTGTGGAATTAGCTATTAATACTTGTATCAAGGTAGACTGCCTATTTCATACCCCTTGGGATGCGATCCTTCCCCGAATCCTACGTGAACACAACACACTTTATACACCGGACTGCCTTTTTCATATGATTTTGATAAAAATTGAATTAAGAAAATAAATTAGGTACAGTTGAGGAGGAAGATGGAACTAATAAATGAGAAATGGATGTGGTCCATGACTATTGAAGAGAAGTTGTTTCCATGGTTGATGAGAAGACAAAAGTTTACGTCGTCTGAATTATGAGACTTTCATCCCATTACTCTCCAATCATAAACTCCGAAATGCAACTAATTGGAGGCAAACCTTTCATTTCGTTACAACGCAACAAACCTTAAATTATAGTAGGATTTAACTCATATACACTTCTATACGGTCAAAATCGAGTTTTGCCCTTCGTATGATTAATCGAGATTGGAACATGATGGTCCAAGATTCATCATTGTAATATCGAGCCATGGTGCGAAGTATATGTTGTCGAGTTCGAGACCCAGAGACCGATCAAGATCGAGGTCGGTCAAGATCGAGCTCGAAGACCCAGAGACCGATCAAGATCGAGATCGGTCAGGATCAAGATCGACCAAAGAAACAAAAAAGCCGTTATAGCCGCAATTAGGGGGAGAATCTCGGCGGAAATCACGGCACATATCAAGAAGAGGCCGAGTAATTAGCCTATCATGAGAGTCCTTACTGTATTTAGAACTGTATCAAGAGTAGCACTCTCCTACTATATAAGGGGGTCTAATCATTTGTAAAGAGAGACAGTAAAAAAGTAATATACTATTCTTTTCTTTAAGTTCTCAATACTCTGTTACTCTACTCATATTTCATTTGGTTCGAGGGCCAAAGATGCACATCTCATTTGGTTTGCTTTTATTTTTCTTAACAGTCAATTTCAATATCAATTTGCATATTTTCTCAATTTGTGCCAAGTAAAATCGCGTGTCCTTTAAACCACATATAAATTCAATAGTTATCCGTTTTTAGGGTAAAGAACACCAATAAATAATTTATACCTAAATGATAACAAATTCCTTGATTAATACAGAATTTTACACTTTAATGCTACTGTAAATTCAGATGCACCGATCAAAAGGAGTAATTTGTACTAATAACTTGTAGTATTTGTTGAAGACTTTTGTTAGAGAGAGGCATATAATGAGCAATAACTGTCTAGCTTTCAACCACCACCTTTAGTTACTCGTCCTCGACTTTCTTGTTGAGGAAGCTCAAGCCTTAATATGGCCTGCTCTCCATATTCAGTTTACACGTACTATCTCAAAAGTAACACGTGCTATATAAGCAAATACAGTGGTTGCTTTCCTGTTTAATAACTTTTATTGAAGGGAACCCCACAAAAAATCTTTTAAACGAAAAAAAATCTCATGAATAATTTTTGATTCTTTTTCTTATATGTTTTAGAGCACTTTGATGGGTAAAATTGTCCACTTACATGATTACATCTATGCAAGGGCGAAGCTAGAAGTTCGTTCGACTGAACTTAGTAACTTTTGCTCAAATAATATATTAGCATTAAAAAGTTCATTAAATATAAATAAATATTACATTTATAACTCAATTATTAGCACTTAAAGTCATCGTTCTAAAATTTAGAATTCATAAATTTGAAATTCTCACTCACATGGCATCTATGGATGAGTTGGTATGTTCTATTCTAAACCGTATCAATCCATAAGTTTGCCGTGTATGCGCAAATTAGTTTTAGCAATATAACCTGATATATCCACTAAAACAAGGTAAGCTATACACTTTAACATTCTCTATTTATTTATTGAATAAAAGAAAAAGGAAAAAGATGGGAAAAGAAAACTAAATGAACAAGAGAACAAAAAGATCAACATCGTTTAACCGGGGAATGGCCACGCAATATTCCGTCAAAATGGCCCATGACTATGTAACATGATCTATACCAATCACAAGCCTTTGTGTTTTCATTAAATAACAACACCAACCACAAGTAAAACTTTGGTTACGACATTTAACCTACATCTAACCATATATTCTTCTTTACTTTTCAAGAAATAATATACAGACAAACATGAGCAGAAACAGAAACTAGTCAAATATCGAACATAGAGTAAGAAAGTATGTACGCAAGACAGCTAACATGTCTTGCTGCGGTTTTAAGGGGTTGAAAAAACACATGCAATAACCCTAAAATCACATGACTTTCTTCACTTCACACATGCTCTTTTTTCATCTCTATGCAACATTGGCCGTCAATTTAACGTGTTGTTGCTCCTTTAAATTAGGCATTGACTCCTATAAGATTTAATTACTCACGACCCCAAAACCGAAAAAGAAATTACTAACTTCATATTATCTGTTTTTTTTTTTTTTTTTTTGTGTACATCCAGCCTTAATCATAAGAATATTTACTCTTCATCTCTCCATAAATATCTCATTTAATTAACACTCCACTAACTTGAACAGCACAATGGGTAGATTCAAAAAACAAGTGATAAATGGCTTCTTATTTTTCTAAATCGTTAATATTTTTAAGCAAATTCATATTATTACTCCTTCTGTCTCAAATTTTGCCCGTCCCTTTAGAAAGAATAATTAAAAGAGGTTTGACTATTTTACTTTTATTTATGTCATAAATATAATTTTTTTTCGTTGAACATTTACTCTATTTATGTGTCATCTCCATCTTTAAGAATAATTATTACTAAAGGTAAAATAGAGAAAATAATTAATTTTATCCTTAACTTCTAAAATGACAAATAATTTGAAATAACTATTTATAGAAATCACTACAAAATACTACTTATATTTGAGATCCGGAGGTATTACTTATATTAAGCTATAAGGAGTGATTAAGAGAACGAAGTAAGAAAAAGGAAGGAAGGTGTCGAATTTGACTATTTGACTTAGTCACTGGGAAGTTAATACGTCTGAAATTGAAAGAGATGTGTTGGTATTTAAAAAGGTATAAACCAAGTTCTGCACTTAATTAATTTTTCTACCGTACTTATAATATTAATCGCTGGATTAATGTGGTCACTGCCGATTGTCTAAGTTAAATGAGTCTGATTTTTTGTTCTTCCAACTGATGCTGATTTCTAACTAATTGATTTTACTCCTGCATTAAATAATGACTCTTCAGCCACACAAAAATGCGTTGTCGTACAATACTACATGTGATAGTAGATACATTTTTGGCAATCGTTTTCATTTAATGGAAAGTTTTGGTGCTTTAAAATTTTAATATCATTATATCATTTATAAATTTCTGGGTAGTTGTTGAGGCTATTTTTCTAATATTTCAAATAAAAATGCGTTACCACAAAAGTAAAGCATCGCCTTAAGTGAAGAATTTTTTTTCTTGCCTTCTGGTGTTTTGCTATATTTTCTGACTTGACTATAATATTTTTTTTCTTTTCTTTTCTTTCTCGTGCCCAAATAAAGGGGATAAAAGGACAAATAGAAACATAGTATAATATATAAATGAACTACCTGATTAGACCAACAATCAAATTCCATTTAGTTAAGGAAATTATTGCATGCAGTAGACCTAAAATTGTTATATGGATTTTGGAAGCAGAAGGTAGACTATTGCTACTTTATTACTAGGTTGGGCTATATGTTAAGTCATAAATGACTGGCTTTAACTGTTGGTGCATTGAAGATTATATTCTAAAATAATACTGTACAACTACTACTACTTGTTTTCTATTATTGGAGTCTTAAAAGGTAGTCCATAAATATTTAAAATTTCGCTCCCAGTAAAAAACTCGAGAAAAGGATCGGGCTTGAAACTTTCATAGTCTAGTAAACGGTTGGTTGGAGATTTGGAATTTATCACTCTTCTGGAAAGACGTTTATTAAGAAAGTACTAGTATTAGAAATCGCATTCCACGAATAATTTGACAGAATACTAATCTTATAAAATTATGATGTAATATATCATATTATTTTGATAAATATTAATTATATTTTATTATTTAATATAGTGTGCGGAAATATGTCAAAATCTATATAAAATTAAAGAATACATTATACATATCATATAGTAATCAAATAAATTTTTTGTTCTTTATTTATTTTTATTGTTGAATTAGTAAGTACTTAGTACTATACATTTACTAATGTGGATTTTGATACTACTCCTCTTTTAATATAACATACATATATAATTTCTTACTCTGGAATTTTTTTTTTAAAACTTATGTTATACTGTTCAAAATTCTTCAA